TTTTTTTTTTTTTTTTTTTTTTTTTTTTTTTTTTTTTTTTTTTTTTTTTTTTTTAGTAGCTACGGTATAGACGATTGCGTGCAATTTCACGCTTCGAACGAGGGTTTTCTATATTTTAACGAGCGGAAGTGCTCCAGAGTGTGTTCCTTTGCTGCGCATTACACAGATATATACATTACATTATATAGTGTGTACTTACGCTCCTTTCGTTTTACGCGCCGCGCTTCTTTTGCTTCGTAGGTGAGGGAGTATAGGTAGAATCGAGTCTCAGGTCGCATCGGTTTAAATGCCGGGAAAACCCGTCTATGTATACCTCTAGCGTAATCCGATCGAATAAATAATAATACGTTTATATCTGCGCGTGCAATGTGCACCAAAAAGGACTCCGAAACAGTGTAGGCGGAACTTGTGTTGATCAAACTCGAGGTTCTTTTTTGTTTTTACGTACCGATCTGAACCGATCCAATGAGCCGGTGACGGTGGTATACAAAAGCAACATGACTAAGACTCGTCGGCGAGCTCTCGAAAAGGTGATGCGTAAGAGCGAAGGTCAAATTGTGTAGCTTGTAATTTCAAAACGCTCAACAATATATGTTTGTAGCGAATACCGATCGTCAAAAAATATTAAAATTATTGCCATATCGGGGTAAAAGTTTTTCGAGTTTCTTGACATTAAGAGTGGAGTCAACATTATGATTCCTTTACTCTCTGCGTGTGGTATTTACATCTCAAGCTCTAAACTTGCCGATTTTCGTGGTTACACCACGCAAAAGTTAAAATTTCATCTCGCCACCGCCGATCGTTTGAGCAACTTTTTGAGAAAATTACACGCGCAATTCAATCATCCAGAATTCAATGTAAGGTCGCAAGAGCGAAGCAAACAATCGGCCGATCGGCACGTCCCTTTTCTTTGGTACCTGTAACAATAACACGACAAGAATAATAAGAATCAAAAACTTTTGGCACAGAGGCTGCACGGTCGAGCAAAATCGTGCCCATATAATAATATACGTACATATTATGTGTATTTATAGTTTTTCTTCCGGGATTTTCAACGGAATTCGCGACGCAGATGTTAACACCCGTGTATACTTGAAAATATGTATATATAAATTGTATACATCGGCCCATCAACAACAAGCGCGTTGCTCTGATTATCGCGCGACAAAAATCGTTCTTTGTTTTTTTTTTTCGCCTCTTCTTTATATAGCTCGCAAGCGATGATATGACATGCCGTCATGGTGTTTTCGCCGATTTTTGCCGAGTAAACGCTTTAAGGAGGATATCCACTGGGTGGAGAAAGGAGAAAATCGGTACCTATGTATATTATACGTAGCTTTGCTCCAGCGAACTCTGTGGTTGGTTAACATTTCCGTGACTCTTATATGATACAACGTAGGGACCTATTGTGATTTCTCGATATTTCCAAAAGAATAAATTGAATAATCACTCCAAAAACGGTACCGATCTTTTCTTCATCAATTGGTGCAGCTATACAAAAAATTCGAAAGCAAAAGCATATATTATACACACGCGCCCAACAATAACAAATTTTTTCTCGCTGCGTTGTGTGTATTGTCCAGCCGGCGCCGATCACTGGTACCACTGTGGAGGGGACACGTAAAGCCGATTTTTCGGCAGATAGTTCACTTTCTCTCGCGCCAATGCTACCGTCCACAGCGTAATATGCAACGCGAGGTCACCCGGCTTGTACGAGCACCTTCGATGCGCACCCACGCGCGTTGGAGCGTTGCGTATCCTACACACTTGTCCTGCGTGGGTGTGCGATTTCCTACGGTATGCGTAGGTATATATGGACGAGAGCTGCGCGGGATACACACGCAAACTATAAACGATTCGCTCGATCGGTTTGGTCATTGCGATTTATATACATACTCACGGTGCACCAATGGCAAGCGCACCCAGACATGCGTTTTATATTATTTGCGTGACGCGAGAGAGAGAGAGAGAGAGTAGGTATACATAGCGACGATTCTTTGTTTGTGTACGGTTTTCTTATTTTTGCTTACTCGCGCGAAATTCGTGTATTTTTAATTTATAAGCTACACATATCTTCGAAAACTCGATGTATTGCGAGAAAACAAAAATGAATTATCAACAGCCACTGTCCATGCTGACTTTCGAGCGTCGAGTGCAATCGGTTTGCGCTAGAAAATAACTCCGGGTTTTCCCCGAGCGATTTGTGTTTTTCAGCAGGAAAACTCGAGATGCGTCTCTCTTATTTTTTTTTTTTTTTTTTGGTTTTCCCCGGGTAATATACCGATTGCGATCTTTTGCCTACTCTGGAAAGTACGCGCTCGTTGTATAACTTATTATCGCGTCTAAAATTTTCCAAAGCTATCTGGCAGGGAGTAGGGGGGAAATAAAAAAAATGTACGCGATTTTTAGGGAAAAGACGAGTATAACGTGGCGCGACGGAATATCTATACGAAGTAACGTGTTACACGCGAAAAGAGAGGAAAACGATGATAGCATCGCGTTGAACTTGAATTGTCAGCTCGTGGTTGCGCGACGCCGTATATATATGGTTGAGGAAGTAGTAACAATATAATATACATTGGTACATCGAGGCACCCACGGAGTAGCGCACAATTGTAGCGATATAACCCAATATCACGACTTTTCCGCTGCTCTCTATAATACATCCCCTCGTATACCTTATAGTTGTAGCTCCGAGAGCAGACAAAGTTCCGTCGTAAAACCATGGACTGGTCACCTTGGCCATTTCTGCTGCTATTCTGCGGCTTAGCGGCCGGACAATCGTAAGTGACATTATTTCTTATATATATATATAAATGGCTCCCTATCCCATCAGACCTGCTCTGAAACTCTTTTTTTTTTAAAAAAGGTACTACTCCATTGTCGCGCCCCGAGTCGTCAGACCAAACTCGGAGTACCATGTGGCGATAAGCATCGTCGGCGTCTCCGAGCCAACGACGACCTTCGTCGAGTTGTCCGGACAATTGGACACCGGGGAGTCCTTTGTCGTGTCGGACAGCGTCGTCGTCGAGCCCTACGCCACGAGGGTCCTCAGTTTCGAGGTAAGAGCAAGCTCTTTTACTTACATATCATACATCTTACATACACATTAGTTATGAAATTTTATTGCGATATTTCATAAATTTACATACATACGAGGGTTTTTTTTCAATCTCATAGTATAAAATATACACTTTGCTTGCGTGTAGCCCATTGTTCAATTACTCGCGCGAGAGTTGGTTTTAATCGAAACTTTAATTGACACGCACTCTCGACTCGAGAAACCATATGTAGGCTCGCGTTTTTACATGAAAATACGACTAAAATATACATGCACGTGTAAGCACTCCCTGCGAGAGTCGCAAAAACACACGGCGCATGCAATTTGGTATATGTGGCACACATACCAAAGTGTACTTGTACGTAGACAACAACAACAACAACAACAACAAAAAAAGAGCTGGAAGGTCAGCCGCGGCGTACATAGATATATGTAATATGTTTGGTGGGAAAAGCCGAAGAAAGCGCTGCAGCCGAGATCTCTTTTGACCCACATAAGGATGTACCTATACTCTTATACCGATTTCGTACACCTATGTAATATATATAATACTCTGTCGCACGGCGTCGGTGGCGTGTATTGTACACTATACACACAATTCGGAGTTCTGATCTGATTTTTCTCAATTAGAATACGCGCATATTTATATACCCATATGCAAAAGTTTCACTGATTTCACCCTCGCGCGTGGATGATGCATCGGGCGAACCTTTTTTTTATTTTTATTGTTTGCGCGTGAAGTTCGTCAAACGCGAGAAAGCTTGTGTTTGCTTGTGTACAGTTCGGCTTTTGTGTGTCACGCGTCATCCGTATACTCGCGGAACCTCGTCGAGAGTTTCGCGGATTTTTTTTTTTTTTACTATGGGGTTGCTCTTCGCAGCCTCTATAAACTAGAGCACACCTTGTGTTTTCACCGGAGCGGATTCCTGGTGAAACCGTGTATACGGAAATCGTATGATAAACAAATCAAAGTCTTGTAGAAAATGTTTGCTTCGCATTGATCAAGCCAATTTATTTATGAGTTGCATTTGTATGAATAAAAATTTTGAAAAAGTTTCGGGACGTCGCGTGAAAAGCACTGCCAGCCTCGTTGTTACAATTTTCTAAAATTTTGTCACTACGAAGAGTCGTAAAATTGTTTTAAATGGAAAAAAAAAAAAGTTAAAAAAGGAGGTACAATGAGATTGCGGAGCAATTTCGCTCGTTGCTTACGTAAATGTAATATTCCGCCAGAGTTGCATCTACATTTGACACAAACCTTCGTTCGCGCTAACAATTTTACTTGCGGCAAAATGCCACGTTTTAATTTTGAATTTTACAAAGTAGTCTTTGTTCGTTTCGTGAGCTTTTTTTTTCGTTGTCCATTGTTATCAATAAATTATTAATAAATATCGGGAAAAAACTTTGAAGAGAAATAAATAATTTACCAGGACAAGCCGTTTTTTAAAGTAAACATTACGCGGCACATGAAAATCATTTTCTGTCATGAATCTCTTTTTATCATTCATAAAACCATAACCGCAGTACTCAACTAATGTATAAAGTGAACGCCAACCATCGCGCATCGAACAAAAAAAAAAATACAAAATAAAATATCCCCGTTATAAAAGCTCAAGTATTCCTGGCGACACCGAGTCCATCATAATATATGTGTGCATGTCCGAGCTAATCTATACACACACGTGCGCGCACGAGCGTATACCTAATTCGATTGAGGAGCATGTACGGATGGCAACGGAGATGCGAATCGATCGTTAAAGTTGTCGCGTTGCCGTTACAAACCGTGTATATGTGCGTACGTTAATGTCTCTTCTTTTGCAACGGAGCTATGTATGGTTATATTTTTATGATGTATATCCATGTGCATAAAAAATACGCGTTTTTGCATGCCGTTATAAAAAGATTTAAAGATGCCAAAGTAGCTTTTATTCATCCGACTCGTGTGTGTATTACATCCAGACACAACTATATATAGTATGTAACGAGAAAGTCGGCGCTATAACTTTCAACGTCCATCTCATGATACGTAATAGGTATATTTAATTCCATACGTGCGTGAGTCGACGGGCGTTACATTTATACATAATATATCTGTTGCGTAACACATACACATTGTGTTTTTCATCAATATTTCATGTCCTCTCTTCATTCGCTTGTACACCCGAGCATAGAAGAATACATAATACGAAGCAGACGGTGTACTCAAAAGAGCGATTTTTTACCGGCCGGCGAGCAATATAATATATACATCTCTGCTGCAGTGTAACTTCAAGTGCGCACACTTGTTTCAAAATTCCGTGTATTTTTTATTAGCGCGCACGCGTGTAATACAATACGAGGTGAAAATACTAGCGCCAGCAAAGCTAAAAAAAAAATCTTCGAGTGAGAGAAGAAAAAAAAATATAGACGTTATTCGCGCGTATAAATTTCAGTGCGCCTATATTTTATACGGCGACCGGTGAGGCTCGATTTACTGGGCGCGGCGCATATCTTCTCGCCCATGTGTATGATGTATACCCTACCCTCCATGTAGTGTACGCTCGTTAAAACATCCTCTGCGACACACCCAGGTTGGCCGTATCGCCGAAAAAAAACAAAACAAAAGGTCCCCCCGTATCTTATCAGCTTTGCAAAAAAGAAAAAAAAAAAAAAAAAAAAAAAAAAAAAAAAAAAAAAAAAAAGAAAAGAAAAAACCGGTCATTGGCCTGGTTCGATCGAATGGCGCACCAAAGAACAACAATGAAAAATTGCAGGTCGGCGACACCGGGCCCGGGAAATACAGGCTCCTGGCGCGGTCAACCAGCGGCTACGCCTTTGTCAACTCGACGGAACTTGAGTACGTGCACAAGAGCTACTCCGTGTTCATGCAGACCGACAGGTCGGTCTACAAGCCCGGGAGCAAGATACAGTTCAGGTGCGTCGTTCTCGACTCGAGGCTCAGGCCCACGGCCAACAGGCAGCTCGAGGTTTACATTACGGTTAGTACACCGTGTCATTAATATCACTGTATTCGCATTGTTTGTATTTTTTTTTTTGGACGCGTCAAGTAATTATTCCAAGCGATAAATTTCCTCCGAGTGGTACTGTTTTTTTTTTTTTTTTTCTGTGTTAGGACCGCGATGTTTGTCGCGCAAAAGTTTCGCGTCTCGAGAAAGAGAAAAAAATTGGAAATGTTTACGAAAAGAGAGATAAAAAAAAAACTGGATTTTTACTTCATTTGATATTTTGTAACGTAAAATGTGGACGAAAAATGGTTAGGACGGCCAAGGCAATCGTATAAAACAATGGGACCGGCCAAGGTTGCACCAAGGAATATTCAACGGGGAGCTCGAGCTGTCGCAGTCGCCGGTACTGGGGGACTGGGAAATCGTAGCCATCATTGGAAACCAGACCTTCAAGAAGGCCATCCAGGTGGCCGAGTACGTGCTACCCAAGTTCGAGGTTACCATCGACTCGCCGGCCCACGCTACTTTCAAGGAGGGCAAAATTGCCGTCATCGTTCACGCCAAGTGAGTGTCTTGTTTTTTTTGTTCATTTTGAGTGGGCGAGATTTCGCAGGTGCGTATATACGACGAATCGTGACTTCTCGTGCATGCTTTGGCAAAAGACGAGTGCTTTTTCAACGTGATCTCGCATGATTTCAGGTACACCTACGGTAAACCGGTTAAAGGCGAAGCCACGATAACGGCCTTCCCGGACATCTACTCGCCGGTACTGCAGCCGGTCTACCAGTCGCCGATCCGCAAGGTCGTCAAAATCGAGGGAAAAGCTACCGTGGACTTTGACATAGCCAAAGACCTGAGGTATACTAATGACGCGGTTAATCTCGTTTTGTAGCCATTTATTTCCTTTTTTTTTTTTTTTTACACATCTGTGTGTATATAATTGCTCTGCGGTTACTTACCGCGACCCATAGTACTTCCGGAAAATGTAGCAAACGATACATGAGGGAAAAAAAAAAAAAATTACTCATTACGACATGAGCAATTTATTGTACAATGTATGCGCGCACAGGGTGACGGACGACGACTATAGGCGTCCCGTGGTGATCGAGGTCGCGGTGGAGGAAGCAGTCACCGGCAGACGACAGAACGCCTCCCTCCAGATAACGTTGCACAAGCACAAGTACACGATGGAGTTGCTGAGAACCGCCGAGTACTACAAGCCCGGCCTCAAGTACACGGCATTTGTAAGTCATACACATTTTTTTCTTTCTCTCTTCGCCGCATCCCTCATCGCGTTGTTATTTTTTTTTTTTTTTTTTGTTTTATCTTTTCCTTCCTTCGCGCGAGACAGGATACGCGCGTTATTAAGGGCTCCTTACCACGTATTTTCACGTTTCGCGCAACATATATGATGCACATACTTGCGTGTATATTATACATACAGGCGTGTGAAATCTCCTCGAATCATGTTGTACCTATTGTCTCTAACTATAACGAGTTCGGTGTTAAAACAAGTACACGCGCAGCCCTTCCCTGAAAAACAAGTGTACGGCAATTACGTGCGCGTGGGAGAGCACTTTTATTTCCATGAATTGGTTGGGATATAATGCATGTAATGCAACGTACGTGTAATATCGTGTACGCGCCGATCAGTTGAAGGTAGCGTACCACGACGGCTCGCCGGTGATCGACAACACGAACCCGGTGCACGTGACCTACGGCTACACGTACGACCAAGAGAACCTGTACAACATGACGCGAATGCTCGACAAGAACGGCATGGTGGAGCTCGAGTTTTATCCACCGTCTACGGTGCCCGACAAGATATTCCGGCCCCTGAGGATCGAGGCGGAGTACCTCAACCTCCACGAGTGGTTCCCCTCGACCAACCCGGCGACCTCCAGGAGCGGGGCTTACGTTCAGGCGACTCTGCGCACCGACAAACCCCGGGTCGGCGATTACGTCGAGATCGAGGTCAACTCCACCGATCCGCTCAAGTACCTCAGTTATCAGGTCCTCGGCCGCGGTGACGTCCTCAACGCGGCGTCCATCCAGGTGCCGGATCGACACATGGCCAACTTACGGTGGGTTATTTCGCCTCCATCTCACAGCCAGAAGATAAAAGCTCCTTTTTTCTGACACATGATGGACATTTGTTTAGGTTCCTGGCCACCTACGTGATGGCTCCGGTGGCCCACGTGCTAGTCTACTACGTCAGGCCCGACGGGGAGATAGTGGCCGACTCCCTGAACGTGGAGCTCGAAGGTGCTCTCCAGAATTTCGTGAGTCCCCTAATTGCGCCTCCATGTACCCACGTGTATAGTGTGTAACGTTTTTCCCTTTTGGATGTACTTTAGGTGGACATAAAAACTGTGCCCGGTGAAGTGGAACCCGGGGACAACGTCGATTTGACCATTACGGCCAAGCCGAACTCCTACGTTGGCATCTTGGGTGTGGACCAGAGGTCGCTCCTGCTGAAATCGGGCAACGACATCACTTACGTGAGCATATTTCTCCTTTTTTTTTTTTTTTTTTTTTTCAGAGGTGCTTACCCAATTTTTGGATTCCAGGACCAAGTGCGCCGAGAGCTGATGTCCTACGACTCGAACGGCGAGCCGAGCTTCTACGGCGACGATAACTTTTCGCCCTCGTGGACGAGACCGGGTTCAGCCAGTACCGAGGAAATATTCCGCGTAAGTCCAAAACCCAACGATTGTTTCAATTGCCATCATCGGAGAGCGAACACCTCTGGTTAAAGTTAATGATGTTTTGTTCCTTGGTCCCGCACAGACGATGGGCACTGTCGTGATCACCAACGCTTACATGCACGAGAACCTCCAACTGAGTAAGTCTGCCAACAAATCAAACAATCATTTGTATTGGATATCTTGATACTAATTAGCAGCAATAAGGCTAAGCATTGTGTGCTCGTTAATCATTTTTAATTTACCACGTAATATATCTTCACTTGAACCAAAAAAAAAAAAAAAAAAAAATGGAAATACCAAAAAAAATCTCTCTACAAGTATATTAACATGTTTAACTTTCGCGAAAAGCAGATTTTTATGGCATTTTGCGGATAATGATTTTTCGTTTATCGGAACAAAGCAAAAGTAGCATCATTTATTGACCGAGTATTATTTTACGGATCGAATAACACTGTACATATATTAAAAAAACATTAAATACCCTCAGCGATTAAAAAAAAAAAGAATGTGTAACGTATTGGTGGTTGGGTTGCGCATTAAAAAATTTTGAAATTCTTTGTTGTATCGATCGCACAACGTCGCGTCGACGCGTCGTAAGTCTGATGTACTTACACGTTTATATGATTTTACATGATTGTGATATGTATGTGCGTAGTATACTACCGCAATAGCTTCAGCACGATAGCTATGGCCCCCATCGCCATGGCGACGAGCACAAGTTCGGTCTCGACGGGGGACCTCAAGGTCCGCAAGAATTTCCCCGAAACTTGGATTTGGGAGGCGGTCGACACCCGGTAATTCCGTCAATCTTACAACCAACAATCACATAAATATATATTTCCCCCCCCCCCCATAGCTCCATTTTTCTACTCGATTTCACGGGGTCACGTATTATATTGTTGTTCTCATTTTACTATACTTTCTCTATTGTCATTTGGTCTTTTGTTCATTTCTTGCTGGTAATGCTTTTGGACGAGGTATACAATATATAATAATATAACGTGGTGAAAATGGAATTAATCTGTGTAAGTAACAGGTGAATGGTTGATTAATACATCATCTAACCGGCCCATTGTAAATAAGAGGATCCCACCCCTCACATACATAATCCATCCAACAATTTATATCGTATTATTAATCTTTACTAACAATAATATACGCACAGTTGATCAAACGAGAGTACGAGTTGAAGGAAAAATAAAGTGCACGATTTTTTGTTTAAAGGACAAGGTCGTTGATATTCATAACACTCAATGTATCGCAACGACTTGTCGTCTATTGAAATCGTCGCACATTACCACTCGGTAAAAGCATGAGGTGAATCACCACGTGGTTTTACCGTGTAAGTCTTTTTTAATAGAGAACATACACTCGGAGGGCAAACAATATAATTTTAATAGATTGGTAACTGTTTAATTTTTAAAAATAAAGATCTAAAGTATATAATAGTTTTCCGAGTGTATATGCTACATGTAAATAGGTAATAAAAAAAAAAGAAATGGCAGGATCTGTGGATGATTGGTAAGGAAAGAAAAAAAAAAAAAAAAACACGAATGGCCGGTCGGTTTTGCAGCTTCAAATCCGGATGGCGATAGGGTTAAAGGTCCGCTGGAGGGGCTGGCATTATCGACGCTGAAGCCGGACATTGGGCCGCCGGTTCGGCACAGATTCGCCGCGCGGCCGGCTTGGGCCGGACGTTACGCCTTCTCGTACGTGCCGCTAGCCCCTTGGAGGCCTCGTGTTTTCCTCATGCATGACATCTTAGACACTTGGCTTTTTTCAAACATGTCTTCAGGGTATACTTGTTTACTTTCTTTTTTTTATCCACCTACTTTTAATATATAGTGTACTTTTTTCGTTTTACTTTAGGTGTTCACAATTTTTTTTTTTTTTTTTTTTTATCGCAACTACCCCCCCCCCCCCCCCCATCCCTTTACATTATTTTTTTGTCTTTTCATGTTCATGATCGATGTAATGTATGATGCTGAGAATTTGTGAATGTTGTGTAAAATTTTTCGCCCCCCCCCCTAAAAAAGTTTTTATTATAAAAAATCTATACTTTTTGTAACAAAAGTGAAAAATGAGCTTTTCGGCCATGGAATGTACATGATAGCGGGAGTATTGATTTTTTTGATGAACTTATCGTTTTTTTTCATCCCTATACTCAATGCACATACAGCAAGTAGCTTGAAATACGCACCCAATTTGTCTCCACGCTATTACATGATTTTACCATTAATTCATGTCTTGGTGATTCTTCTTTAGGAGATATGCAACAAGTTATGTTTATATTAGATCTGATTCTGAGTAATATTTTTATTATCGTTTTACTTTTTTAACAAAACACTTAATTTCCTTGTGTATATTTTTCTTTGCTCGATTTATTCACATGAATATTGTAAATTAGTTTTTGGAATTCTTGTAAATTGCAAATGTATTATCAAATAATGGTGTATGTATACTGAATTGTATTACTTTTTTTATTTTTCATTGTAAATTATTATACACTATACCTATGTTCCTTTGTAAATGTAACTATTGTTCTCTTTATTTCTGTTCGTTCCACCTGTAATCACTTAGTTTTTAACGTATATGTGTGGGTAGAGAAAAAAAAATTAATTTTCGTCTAAAACAGGTACGAAGGAAAAACAGTGATCCGAAGAACTGTACCGGACAGCATAACATCGTGGGTGTTGACCGGTTTCTCGGTCGACCCAACTTATGGACTCGGTCTCATGCAGTCACCTAGAAAGGTATATATCATACCCATCGTGTGGATTCATAAAGAAATCACTGTCTTTTGCACACGTTCTTTAAATACGCATAAATCGATCGGTTGTTTCCAGCTGAAAGTGTTCAAACCTTTCTTCATCTCGATGAATCTCCCTTACTCCGTGATTCGTGGAGAAATCGTAGCAGTGCCGATCGTCATATTCAACTACATGAACAAAGATCTCACGGTGGAAGTGGTGGTGGAGAATAACGGCGATTTCGAGTTTGCCGAAATATCAAACGAAGTCCATGAAACCAAACGTACATTGTTATATATAAAAAAATCCAATTTATAATTCAAATCAGTAAGTGCGGATCGATGATAATAACATACGTTTGCAAATCCCTTCATAGGCCTGGAACTTTACCGAACCAAAAAATTGTTCGTACCTGCAAACTCGGCCCAGAGCGTTTCCTTCATGATCATTCCACTGAAGCTCAACCATATAACGATCAAGGCCAAGGCGACCAGTGCCATGGCAGGCGACAGTATAGAGTATCCTCTTCTCGTCAAGGTACAATCCATTGTATACTAATCATCATTCATGACTGTAACAAATACAATAAATAAACCTCAAAAACAAAAATTAGGCCGAGGGTGAGACTCAATACAGAAACAAAGTGGTATTTGTCGATTTGAGAAACGACGACTCGACAAAGACTAACGTCACCGTCGACATTCCCAACCATTTTGTTCAAGATTCCGACTACGTCGAGGTATCGGCGGTCGGCGACATACTTGGCCCAAGCATCCCTAATCTCGACAAGCTCATCAAAATGCCGTTCGGATGCGGCGAACAGAACATGCTCAACTTTGTGCCAAACATCGTGATTTTGGAATACTTGAAGGTTCGACATTATACATCCTGAATACACGTAAATGAAACATGAATACAACATGTGAGGCTCTTTTTTACTATAGAACACAAATCAGCTGTCTCCAGCCATCGAGAGCAAAGCACTAGGCTACCTGGAAACTGGCTACCAGCAGGAACTGACGTACAGACACGCGGACGGCTCCTTCAGCGCTTTCGGCAAGTCAGACCCGCGCGGCAGCACATGGTCAGTCGATGCACGTCCTCGCAATAACTAATTCCCATCACCCATTCACTTGTACCTTTATCATCTTCCACCAGGTTGACGGCCTTCGTTGCTAAGTCGTTCAAGCAAGCCGAGAAGTACATCACGGTGGAGGAGAAAATTGTGTCGGACGCATTGCGCTGGCTGGCCGAAAACCAGGCGGCCAACGGCAGCTTCCCCGAGGTCGGAACTGTCAGCCACAAGGACATGCAAGGCGGCGCGGCCAAGGGCCTCGCCCTCACGGCTTACGTGCTCAGTGCTTTTCTAGAAATCGAGGTACGAGAGTGTATTTATTATGAAGAAAAAAAAAAGTGCCACTGGAAACTTTTCCCATTTACACTTTTGATTTCCAGAACATCGACGGCCCTTATCGCAACGTCATCTACAAGGGCGTCGACTACGTGGTGCGCCACATGCAGGACCTGGACGACAACTACGCGCTGAGCATCTGCACGTACGTGTTGGGGTTGGCGCGCAACGCCTACGAAGACGAGGCTTTCCGTGAACTGGAGCGACGGGCCAACTACACTCTCGAGGGAGGTCTCAAGTGGTGGAGCAAGCCAGTGCCCGAGCCGGAGCGTAACAATCCCTGGTACTCGCTGTCCCGGTGCGCCGACGTCGAGATGACCTCGTATGCCATGCTGTCGTACCTGCGTAGGAACATGCTCACCGACGCCACGGCCATCATGAAGTGGCTGATAAAGCAGCGCAACGCCGAGGGCGGCTTCGCCTCGACTCAGGACACGGTCGTGGGCCTGTACGCCCTGTCGAAGCTGGGCGAGAAACTCAGGACGAACCTGTACGACGTGAAGATCAAAGTGACGACCGACGCCGGGGAGACCAAGGAGATCAACGTCAACTCGAGGAACTTTATGATCGTGCAGAAACACGAGGTGCCTGTCATGCATTTTTGTAGTTGTGGTTGATATTGGTGACATTTGGGTTGGTGATGGAACTTGTTTGTTTCCCTTTGCCACACAGCTGCTCGGGAGAACTCGAATGATGAATATCACGGCTACGGGGACGGGTTTCGCGCTCGTCCAAGTCACCTCGCGCTACAATCTCAACGTGACCGGGGCCTTCCCGCTCTTCACCCTGGATCCCCAGGTCGACACGATATCCACCAACGATCACTTGCAGCTATCGATCTGTTCTGGGTTCGTGACCTACATCCGATGAGTGTATCGGCAGGAGCTAGTGAAAACAATGAACATTTAAATGTTTTAGGTTCATCCCAACGAAAGAGGCCAATGAGAGTAACATGGCCGTCATGGAGGTGAGCTTCCCGTCGGGCTTCACGGTCGATCAGGACGCCCTGCCGAGCTTGGAGCTGTCGCAGCACGTCAAGCGCGTCGAGACCAAAAACGGCGACACCATGCTCGTCCTGTACTTTGACAAGGTACAGTTTTTATTGTTGCTCTTGATATATTTGTATATATATATATATACTTCCTTC